TATGTGTGCGTGTGTGTGACAGCATGCGCGCGCGTGTGTGTGAGCATGCGCGCTTTCGGCGTCCAATCGAAGCACGGTAGATTGTTTTGATTCGACACTATCCAACGTGACTACTATGAGGCGCCGGAGTGGACAAAAGTCAAGCGAACGCAGAGAGAATTTGAATTTGAACTTGAGATCGAGCCAATACTCGCTCTCTCTCTCTCTCTCTCTCTCTCTCTCTCTCTCTCTCTCTCACTCACATACAACATACACCTCTCTCTCTCTCTTTCTCTCTCTCTCTCTCTCTCTCTCTCTCTCTCGTGCATTCAGTCTCTTTGCGTTCGCTTGACTTTTGTTTACGATGGCGTCTCATACCTTTAGTGCTTTTGCTCTCACGGGATCCTCCTGTTAAACTGACCCTTCGCTAAGCCACGCCCAAAAACCGCCACCCACCAATCGTAGCTACGGGCAGAGGCTCTGTCAAGCTTTCGAGCGAGGGAAACAAGCCAAATCGTTGCACAATTGGATTGTGAAAATCTGACACCCGCTATCCTAAAAGTTTGGACTGGGTGGTGGGATTTTTTCCCTTTTCAAAACCAAAGCCCAAGAGGAGAAATGCCAGCGTGGATCAAGCTGTGTGAGGGGCGGTAAAGGAGTTAAGCTAAGTTGGTTTTGTTTTTGATATTCACATTCAATGATAGGTGGCAATAACTCACACTCCTCTTATCCTAAACAGATCTAAACTGTGTTTCTTTTAAAAAAAAAAATTAAAAAAAACAAAGCAGGTTATGCTTCCCAGCGGTCTTTTTCTTTTTTTCCACTCGATATTATGAGCCAGGGCTCGACAATGAGGACTGCCCGATGGCCCGGGGCCAGCATGCGAGACACTCGGGCCAGTGTACAAAATGTTACTGGCTCGATCGGGCCAGCTGCTGCCTTTTTGCCTGCCAGATCGAGCCAGAGCTGCGTGCTGCGACTGTCTGTCAATTGTGTGCAAATACAATCTTACGGTGCTTTCACACATAGACGTTTGTTTCGGAATCGGTCTCGTTTCACCCGTTAGCGCGTTTTTTTTAGCATATATCCAGCAGTTGCGCTCGCTTCCGCGCCAAATCAATCAGTCCAAGATCGCCTGAATGAGACGGTCTCTGTCCTATTGAGCGTATCGATTGTAGCTAGAAAACAAAACAATGCAACGAACTAACGACCCAGGCTATATCACAGTGTATTATGATTGTGTAATAGCCATATATACGGCTATATGAAGAGGGAATGATGAGCAGGGCGAGATGTCATTCTTACCGGTAAATGCGAAAGTGAAAGCATGCTGAAATATTACCGAGAGCTGTTTGTCCAGCCTGATCTCGGTTTATCCGTCAGGAAAATTGACCGAAATTACTATCTGTTAATTTTTCCATATTTTAATCGTATAATAGGCCTATGTTGTATTAGGCCTGTTGTTTTGTTCATTTCCGCACTGACAGCTCGAAAGAAAGATTTACATTGATCTGATGCAGTCTCGGTTCATCTGCTATGTCTCTCTATAATTAAGCCTAAAATACAGAATTATAGTCAACGTTTCTTTAATAGATTGATTAATTCAATTGATCGATTTCTACAAAATCTGACAATTTAAATGAGGCTCTGTATGACAAAGTCTGACCTCGATTTGTATTTGGTGACGATGTCTGTGGGTTGTTAAAATTAAAGTGCACATTTTCACTTATAAAATATTCTATACACAATGCACAAAAGTTTGGGGTCAGTGTGATTAAATATGTTAAAACAAGCTTCTTCTGCTCACCAGGGCTGCAATTATTTCATCATAAATACAAATTGTGAAATGTTGCACTATAAAATAACTGTTCAAAAGTAGTTTATCATTTAATTTATTCATTTATTCCAGTGATTTTAAAGATGAGATTTCAGCTTCATTACTCCAGTCACATGATCCTTCAGAAATCACTAATATTAATAATTATTATATTTATTAATGGCAATAGTTATAAAATCAATAATGTCTGGAGTAATTATTTTATTTGAAACTAAATACAATAACAAAGCAGTTATTTAAAATTTTAATAAATATTTAACAATTACACCTTTTTTACATTTATAAATATAGCCTTGATGAACTAAATAGTTTTCCTTAAACATTTTAAAAATTACCGTAAATATATATACAGATTTATTAGCCCCCTTTTGTTTTTTGTTTTTTCTTTTTAAAATATTTCCTAAATGATGTTTAACAAAGCAAAGAAATGTTGATATTTTGTCTGATAATATTTTTTCCTCTGAACAAAATCTTATTTGTTTTATTTTGGCTAGAATAAAAACATTTTTTTAACCATTTTAAGGTAAAATTTATTAGCCTCTTAAGCTAATTGTTTTTCAGACTGTCTACAGAACAAACCATCATTATACAATAACTAGCCTAATTACCCTAACCTGCCTAGTTAACCTAATTACCCTAGTTAAGCCTTTAAATGTCACTTTAAGCTCTATAGAAGTGTCTTGAAGAATATCTAGTAAAATATTATTTACAGTCATCATGACAAATATAAAATAAATCAGTTATTAGAGATGAGTTATTAAAACTATTATGATTAGAAATGTGCTGAGAAAATCTGTTCTCTGTTAAATAGAAATTGGGGAAAAAAATAAACAGGGGTGCTAATAATTTAGGGGGACTAATAATTCTGAAATCAACTGTGTGTGTGTGTGTGTGTGTGTGTATATACACACACACACACACACACACGCACATTCAAATAGCGATTAACTTCTTTTTTTTTTTTTTTGGTGGGGCCAGTGAAAATTTGGGCTGGGCAAGTAAAAATCAGAACCACTGGCCCGATCGGGCCAGTAGAAAAAATCCTTAGCGTTGAACCCTGTGAGCACTGCTTAGTTTAAACCCTCGCTATTGTAACGCATATAAATACATACACTAATATTTGCTGGTAGGAAAAATCTATTTGTTCACTTCTGTTATTTATACTTTAATGTGCATTTCAATTTTTTTCTTCCACTTAACTGCAAATTTTAATAAAAACTGGATAAAGAGCACACAAACATGCTGACAGTAATAGGTACTGTACACTGTTATGGGTCAATGATGCTAATATTCGGCACAAATCCATCAGTTTCTTAAACAGAGGAAATCCGTGCACGAGCATCACACAAGGTAGAGAGCAAAGCTCTTCAACGTTATGTGAAGAAAACAACTTTATTGTTTGTATGAAGTAGCCTACTTCATTAACAATATGTGCTACCATTTTACATTGCTGCTAGACAGATTTGCAACTCCATCTCTTCAGCACACACGAGATTCAATTGACAAAATTCCAATTTCACTCAATTTAACTTTGCAGCATAGGAGTTGTTGGTCTACTGCTACCACATTGAGGTTATGTAATTTTGGTTAATCACAAGTTGATCACCGAAGACATAACATAGCACAACTAAACTTAATGAATTAGACAGCAGTAGACCTGCAATTTCTGTGTGATGTGAGGCAAAATGGAGTCTTTTTTTGGTGGAACTCGTTCTTGTGCATTATGCTGTGGAGACGAGACGCAGCACTGTTCAGTACTTTTTCAGAAAATTGCATTTGTATTTTTATATATCTAAGCAATGTTCTTTAATAAAAAAAGGTTTGTTTAATTAATACAGATCTTACAACCATACCTAATCTGTATATATTTTATTTTTCTGTTAAAAAGACTCGAAAAGACTCGAAAATCAAACTGCAGGACTTTGGACTTGACTTGAGACTTGTTGCCTTTGACTCGGGACTTGACTCGGGACTTGCCTGTCTTGACTCGGGACTTGACTCGGGACTTGAGGGCAATGAATTGAGACTTACTTGTGACTTGCCAAACAATGACTTGGTCCCACCTCTGATATGAGGAAAATCTATTAATTGAGGTGAGACCATTTGAATGGAATATTAGCAAAATTATCATATTTACACCACCGGCATAAAGTGTTTTCCATGGAAATGTGTTTGTACAACACAATACAAGTGGTATAAAACTAATTATAATCAAATGACCCTTGAATATTTTTAAAAAAATTGAGCTTTAGTAAAAAATAGACCACTTTTGAAAATACATTTCAATGTTTAAATTAGCCCCATCTGCATGTGCGTTACTTTCGACCGCATGCTGAGAGAAACCGAAAGTATCCCGAATATATTACAGTAGTTTAAATGTCCAGTAGGTGGCCGGTCAAAACCACAAGACCATTGCACAACAATGATAGTAATTTAAAAATATATGCTTTGGGGGTGGGGTCTTGTTATATTTTTGACGTCAGTTGCAGGCCAGAAGGAGGAGGAGGTAGGCGGCAAATTGCCTGCGGGCCAGCAGTTTGAGACCCCTGCTTTAAGACAAATAAAAAAATTTATTATTCAAAGAAAGTTGAATGAGCAGGACTGTGTGTTATTTGCCTTTAGGCTACAGTTTTTTATTTTAAAACAAGTTTTACCAGATATCTATTATTATTGTTATTTTATTTAATGGATAAAAATAAATTGGTTTTTAAAAATAAGTATTTTTTACCATCCGACAAGCTGATCCAGCAAAGATAAGTTATGAAAATGTCATTACAATGCATAATTGAGTAGGAAATGAGGTAAATAACTACATAACAGTTCCACTTTTTCATAAAAAAAAGAACCATCCCTTTCAACAAGCTGGCTACAGCCCTGTTATACTGTAATATTATATATACATTGTGTTGAAATGCTTTACCGTTAAACCATATTTGATTGCACTTTGTTGACAGTTCTATAATATTAATAAAAATTTGTATAATAATGCTTATAATATTTTTAATGTTTTTTTTATTAAATTGTGCACTTATAATTATCATCAGATAGGCTATTGTTGTGTCAGGCTGGATGTTTTGATTGTACCAAAGATTTATTTTTATTTATTTATTTTGAGAAATAATCCTAGTTTGGAAAGCAGCTTGTGACTTTTTTTATATAATATGTCTATATTTGTGTTCTCTAGCTGGCCAAAGAGAGCGAGCGTCTGCAGGCCATGATGGCCCACCTGCACATGCGTCCATCAGAGCCAAAGCATTTCAACCAACCTGTGAGTTCCACTTTTTCATTTTTACAACCTTTTGATAGTGCATCTTTTATCATATTCACACACAAAACTTCTCCTTGGCACATGGTATGATCAATGAATGAGCTGTTTGAGGCACTAAAGACCGCCCTCTGTTGGAGAATAGAGGCAGTGGAGTTCTCCTCTGCTGACTTTGTTCCTGGAGAGCAACTAAAACTCTCACATCCTCTTATTCCAGACTTATGTTTACCTGTTCACCTTGAGCTTTATAAAAGTAAGATTTTATTCAAGCCAGCCGTTAAGCACCTTCAACTCAAGTGTTGCAGATTAAGTTCTCTTTGTGTCAGACTTCATCTCCACTCCAGACGAGCGTTTGTCTACTTAAAGATGTGTTGTTGTTTTTAAATAGTGTTTTGTGCAGGACTTACCAGATATTCCTCCATACGCTGGCATCACAAAATGCGCTTTCCCCCTGCTTCAAGCCAGCAGCTGTCTGGGCAATTATTAGCAATCTAATGAATATTTCATGCCGAGATTGATGAGGAGTCTTATTAAAATACGAAGATGTCGAAATTAATTGTCAATTAGAAGTGGAGTGTCTTAATTCGAGGGGATATAAATGAAGGCGGAGGGTGAAAGTAGGCCGCGTCTCCTGTTTGGAGACAAATTCTCTGGATCAGCTGCCATTAGACGGTAATGGGGAACCAGCGACCGGGCCGGGACAAGTGACATAGACAAGAAACGAGAGAGAGAGTGAGCAAAAAAAAAAGATAATTGTGAGTGTGATCAAGAGAATGAATTAGCATTAAGTGGTAAGGGCGAGCATTAGGGCGGAGCTTAGCACAAGCTCAAACCCGTGTGTGGCATTGACCGCTATTAAGATCGTTGGGTGTTTGGCACAGTAAACTGGCGCAGCTCCAGCGTTAATTAAGTACCTGTTAAACCATTTTGCTCCCTAATTACTGGAGATGGGCCAGGTTGGCTCCTGTGGCAACGAGAATAGAGAGAAAAGAGGGCCGGCTCTGTTTAATTCGCCATATTAGCTTCAACCCCTCCTCTGGCTCGCTCTATCTCTGGCTGCTCACACGTGCACATGATGGTTTTAATTAGAGCAAAACAAGCAACCTCGAAAAAGACTCCCTGAGCGATGGGGAAAGCTGTTTCCTTGCGCTCTGTGCCCGCCGAAGCTAATTGGGCAGAGCAGGGCCACAATGAGGGCGGGTAACCGCAAGCCTTGTTTGTTGCCAGATTGTTGTTTTACTCCCCTCCTACCATGTATCGCTTTGTTTTGCTCCTCTTGTGTGGCTTTAATTGCAGACGTGGTGTCACCGAGGAGCCTCGTTTGTGCGCGTGCTGTTGAGAAACACGATTTGTGGGGTGCTTTGTTTGAATTTCACCGGGTGAATGGGATCATCTTATAATGGAGTCACTGTGCCAACTGCTTTTGGCATGGATGTGCTGGCAAGGATCGCAGGATGTGCTTCTCACAGCGGGAGAGCAATGACAATTTGACGATGATTATATTTCCTGGTTTGTAATTGCAACGCTGGTGATTATGCGAATTAAAACCAAGGTGTGGGAAGATTTATTATGTGCCAAAATGAAGGAGAGAGAAATGTGTGTTTTGCGCTGTCATTGTTGTGTGTCATTTCTTATACACATGGTTTTCTTTAACAACAAACAGCAACAAGGAAATGCAACTAAACAACATTAACAAACTGTTTTTTTTTAGCACATTAAATACAATTCCACATTTCCTCCTACAAACACAAAACTTTTATTTAAATGTTTTTTTTTTCCTACATGATCAATAAAATTAAAATAAATGTTCATTTCATAAAATTTTGCATTTTTATTTAAATGTAATAAAATATCTACTGAAATATATTCAAAATTTAAATGTCAAATTAATGCTAATTATTGTTTTAAGATTCCCAAAACTCTTGCAATTAAATAGTATATATTTCACAGTATTTTGAGACATTTGATAATCATTTAATTGTAAATACTACCATTTGAAAAAAATAAATTATGAAATTGAAATTAAATTATGGACATTTGAACCTTCTATTAATTAAAAAAATAGTTTTTATTCACTAAATATTTTAATTAAAAGATTTCTGAATATACAAGTGACATTTAGGACTGAACGAATTATGCTGAAAATGAAGGTTTGTTGACGCGAACCTCTAAAAAATGTAATTGCACACTGCAATAATGCATAGCACAAGCTCTGTGGTTGGTCAACTTGGTAGTGGCGACGAGCATAGGTGATGCTGAGAGCCGAGAGCCAGATGGAGTGATTGTTTACAATTGTCGGGTTGCATGAAGGAGCTCCAGATGGAGACTTTTGTTTTTTCTTTACCTTATGATTAAAGTTGTTGCACGTCCGCCAGTTCCCGCCTCTGAATGAGCGAGTTTAAGCAACTTTTAGCGATCAGAAAAAACAAAACACCCACGAAAAAACTTAAAAGAGAGGAACAAAATAGCATACTGTCAGCTATTGTTGCGGAAGTGTTATTGCAGATCAACACAAACAGCGCGCAGAAGTATAAATGCATGACTGCGGGCAAGCCAGGTGTTGTGGGACATGCCAATCACGCAGAAGTATAAATCCGCCTTTAGTGAGCATAAGAGGCTTCTTTCACAATCCCAGAAAATGTGTACCAATCCCAAACTTTTCAACTATAGCATACATATGATATACTGGTAAAATAATTACTATGTCTGAATTGTAATTCTAATTGTAAATAAGCTTTCAACTTGTTTTTCTCTCCTCTAGCTAAACCTGGCCTCAAGCGTGTCGCTTTCGAAAAGAGAAAATGATGGTTTTCCTGAGGGTCTTCCTCATCCTCCCACCTCTGCTGCAACCCCCATCACCCCGATGAGGCAGGGCCCCTCCGTCATCAGCTCCTCCAGCCTCCACGGGGTCGGACCCATCCGGCGACGCAACTCCGACAAGTTCTGCACCCCCATCGCTTCAGGTCTGTGCCCCAGCACCACCAAATACAGCTCATCATGCTTTCTACATCACTTAAATAAATGCATTAATATCTACATTTGTCTCCGTCTGTTACAGAACTTGCACAGAATTGTGAATTCTACAAAAACGCTGATGTCAGGCCTCCATTCACCTACGCCTCCCTCATACGACACGTAAGTTACCTTGCACTGTAAAAACCAACAGTCAGCTTTATCAAATTTAATAAGTGTAGTTAACTCAAAATATACTGCAAGTTAATTCTACTCATTTGAAAAGTGTTAAACTCAGTGTTGAAGGTAATGAGTTAATTAAACACCTTATTATTTTAACTTAAATATAGTAGGTTCACAGTACTCAGTTAGATTAGTTTTTTAACTCAAATAGTTTGTAGCACTCAAGCGATTTGAGTTGCCTTAACTTATTGGGTTTTACAGTACTCAGTTTGTTTGAGTTTTCTTTATTTATTGGGTTTTACTGTGCTCAAATCGCTTTGTTTACTTAAATGAATTAAGTTCACAGTACTCATTAGGATTAGTTTTTGAACTTAATTGGTTTGTTGCAATTGGTTTTCTCAAATGGTTTCAGTCACCTTAACTTTTTAGGTTTTACAGTGTGTGTGATGTAGAGATCTGGATTAGGGATTCTTAAGATTAAATGACAATTGATAAACTGTACGATAATGCTTTAATTCAATGCACCTTGTTGATGATCAAGTAAGCATGGGTGTCATTAAAGAAATGCGTAAACCAGAATTTGGGACTTGTATTTCAGTATGTTGATGTGCTTCCAACTGAAATGGAAAATTGAGTAGGAGGCAGAGTTTTCTGTTTGTGTATCATTCACTCATAGCAAACTAATGGAGAGAGAGAACTAAGGGTTAAGATTATTGTGGCTGAAGCTGTCAAACTGATGTCAAATGAAATATTGGAAGCAAATACGAAAGCAAATTGTCAGACCTTGATTGAAGATTATCAAGACAGAGTTTTTTTGTACACTGTTTACTTGTTTATGTGATTCAATCATTCGAGAAATAGGTTCTACTGTAATTCTGAAAATTTTGTCTATTCTTTTGAGCCATAATCTCAAAAGATTGTGGCTGTTTGTCAAGCCTAGAGCAATTTATTGTTTAAAACTAAGCTCAGAATTGATTCAAGAGAGAATAGCGATCCATGTTTTAAAAATCTCAGAATCGATTATTTACTACAGCTCTATGACTTACTTATTAATAATGCTTCTCTACTATGGTTTGAGAAACAGAACAGCCATTAGTTTACCACTTTGGGTTTGTGTTTGTGTTTTTCACCACAATGTGCCCAGCATTATCATATTGTTAATTTTCTGAAATGGATGCCCAGCAGGCACATAACATCATAAGATGTTAATATTAGGTTAGATTTAGTTCATGACATCAGGTGACCAAAATTCAATGTCATGTCAGCGTCTAAGGACAATGTTACTTTGGCATCCAATAATGACATGAAATTAGGTTGATATTTGGTTGATTTTATGTTGTGTTGGAAAGTGACCAAGATCCAATGTCTGACAGATGTCATAGTGGTAACGTCCACACAACGTCAAGCTGTATCATAATTAGACATTGATATTTTGTTGATTTTAGGTTGATTTTAAGTTAGACATTGATAACTGCCTGATGTTTACCCCATTTTCATTTTCAAACTAAATCCAACGTTTCCATGAAGTTGGGGTACAATGTCAATATTATGTCATGTTAACGTCCTTTGCCTGCAGGGTGAGCACAACATCTAACTCAGCTGACAAATGTTGCTCATGATCATGTAATATATAAATATGTTGCTTTCGTTTTGAGTGTCATTTGCACATATATAGTTTTCTCAAAAAGGAACATTTCCTCCATGATCATTTACTCACTCTTAAGTGGTCTTGAACAGCTATTTACAATCATAGTATTAACTTAAAAAATAATATGGAAGTCTTTTCCAGCATTCTCCAGAATGTTCTACAGAAGAAAGATGTTCAGACTGGTTTAAAACATGTGGAGGACGAGTAAACGATAACAGAATATTCATTTTTGACTGAACTATCCTTTCAAGGCAAAGTTAATTTATAGGATTAATGGATTGTTAATTTAATCAGCAATCGATCATAAGAAATTTGTGGAAATTGGCATTCATAATATGAACGTTTAGCTCTGTGCTCCAGTGCACTTGAGTGGAGTTCAGAGGTGTGTGCTGGAAAGTCAGGATTTATGCGCATCTTTTAGCTCGGTGTCAGTCATGCTGAACATACGGCACTATCCATAATGCACTGCCTGGCCGTCCATCAGCTAATGTCTCTCTCACTAATAACAGCCATCTGAATCACCTCTTGACACCTGCTCTCTTCCATTCTCTCTTTCACCAGGCCATTCTGGAAGCCCCTGACCGACAGCTGACTCTAAATGAGATCTATAACTGGTTTACACGAATGTTCGCCTATTTCAGGAGAAACACAGCAACGTGGAAGGTAATGGCCATACTGCTTGACATAATAGTTGGATTAATCAGGTGTTTGACTGGCACAGTAAATGTAATAAAATAGCACTTTCATTCAGCAAGGACATATTAAATCATCCAAAAGTGTTGAAAAATACATTAGAAGTTTTTCGATATTCGTTAAACAGCACAATTGCCATTTTTTCACCATATAATTCATGTTAGAGTCAATTATAATTCAAAGCAAATACTAACAGCTTTACAGTCAGATAAGTAAATAACAATTTACAGTCTATTTAAATATAAGAGTGATTTTAAATTGTAAAAACTATAATTTTACAATGTTACTACTTTTGCTGTACTTTTGATCAAATGAAAGCAGCTTTTATGAGCAGATTTGGTAAATAAATAATTCAATTAAATAAATAAGTAAAACTTTAAAAAACAAACCCATATTTTCAGGGGTATAGTAAATCTTGTGAATGTCTTGTTGCTGGAAAAATGCAATAAAAATGCTTAATTAAATGCCTTGATTAAATATTATTATTGTTATCAGTATTTCTTATACTAATCAGTCAACAATACTCATTGTCTTGGAAAAAAAAAACACAATGAAGATATAAAAAACCAAATCCGTTTGAGCTACTGTTAGTTTGAGATATAGTTTTCTGAACACTTCATTCCAGCATTTAAACATTTTGCCCCTGATTTATTTTGAACTAATTTTCTGATTATTTAATGCCCAGTTCCTTATATCATCTAAACAGCAGTCACAGGAATCAACCAGCCTGTAGTACTTGCCAAAAAATTTAAGAAGAGTTCGCTTGCCCATGCCAACCTTCTGTCAATGATTCAGAAGAACCCTTTCTTTTCTAAGTCTCACAGAGATAAAAACAGAGCAGCAGATGTAGCCGATTGTTTAACACGACCCAAAACAACAATAAATTCTCAGTTCGTGCCAAGGGGTACAGCAGGTACAACAGAGATAGGCCTTCAGGAGAGCTCCAATAACAGTGAGGTTATTAATGACACCTGGCATCACCCAGACAGCGAAGTTACGACCCGGGCCAGTCCCAGATCTGTTTTTCTTTGCTTTGTTGCTGTCCTGATGTGCTCTCCGGATTGTTTAGATTGTGTTCTGTGGCGTCAGCCTGCCGAATGCTATTTGGTAGGTGGGAGCAGGAAGTTCAAGTCTGGCTCATTTAATTTCCTTTAGTCTCTATCCTTTAACTTTCACCTAAAAGTGTCAAAAGACTAAGTATGGATCTGTCTCTGCACATTTAAAATAGTATCTTTTCTGTTTGGAGTCGGTGAGATTTTTAATGTTTTGCTTTAATGTTTAAACAAGTAATTCTGGTCAACAAGGTTGCATTTACTGAATCAAAAATACAGTAGAACTGTAAAAATGTAAAACATTATTACAGTTTAAATGAACTGTTTTCTGATTAAATGTCTTTACAGGGGACTTAAAAAGTTAAAGTTAACTTAAGTTAAAAAAAATACATTTTAGGCCTTAAAGTCTTAAATTCACTGAAAATTTGTCTTGTAGGTCTTCGAAAATTGTAAACAGGACTTAATTTTTCTGTGTTTATTTAAAGTCAGTCGGGCCAACATGTGTCCATTCACCAACAATCCATCTCAATAGAACTTTTAGCAAAACTCTTGTTACCAATATGGTTTAATTACCGGTCTTACAATATTATTTGTCTAAAAGTTCTCTGTGTATTTATAGTCCATATATGGTTTGGACGCTGAACTGGAAAGACTGTTGTGCATACATTTAGTTTGTTAGGGTTTTTCAAGATTTTTTTAAGATAAGTTATTTTCAAAAAAGTGTATGCATACAATTAGGGTTTGCTTGTTTTGATCATTTATTTAAAATATGTAGCCTTGAAATAACTAATTAGAATAGAATAGAATAGAATAGAATAGAATAGAATAGAATAGAATAGAATAGAATAGAATAGAATAGAATAGAATAGAATAGAATAGAAAAGTCCTGTATAAGTCTAAAACCTGCAGAAACTCTTCTTCAGTGTAACACTAATGATTTATGATTCTTTAGAAATCATTCTATTGTGATGAACTATTGCTCAATAAACATATTTTTTATATCACATTAATATCATTATTATTATTATCAGTGTTGAAAACTTGGTATTTGCTTCATATTTTTGTGGGAACTGTAATAGAGTACCATTAAAAGGTTTACATTAATTTTCATAGTTATCATATTAGATACTACATCCAATAAGAAATATTAATAATATTTCACAATTTTAAGTTTTTAAAAGTCTTTTTTTTAATCTTACCGATCCCAAACTTTTGACCACTACTGTACAATAACACAGTGTGTTTTAACAGTCCATGGGCACGTAGTGTTGTAACTCTTATCAGACAGTTTAATTTAGCCTGGTTGATTAGCATGCGCCCCGCTGGTCCAAAGCCAGTCCTGTATAAGCTCTGCATCTTTTGACATCTCCGCTGTCTCTGTCCTCACTCTTCCACCTGTGTGTGTGTGTGTTTGTGTGTGTGTATGTGTGTGTCTCAGCCCAAGCTTTAATGTCCAAACAGCTGATTTAACTATGTGAAACTCGATTTCATGCTACCTGTGGCGACCAGAGCTAACAGATTTATTTTGTGTATCACTTAATATTTTTATAAACCTTGGTGATATTTTAAGCCAGGTCAAACTGTAAACGGTAATCTTTAAAATATATTTGAATAATTGGCAAAATAACTATAAAATATATAAATGTTACATTTATACAATATATACAATAATTAAAATCGTGTAAAATAGTTTTAGTTCAATACATTTTTTTAAATACAGCTATTATTATTGTCTGTTTTTTATTAACAAAATTAATAGTAGCTTCTCTTATTGAGTTATTAATAGTTATATTTATAATTTGATTAATATTTGGAGACAATTATGATCCTTTTTATGTCTTATCATTATAATAATATGTATTATTGCAATGAATTTCTGATTAGTATTTGTACATATTATAAATAATAACTTTTATCCAGCAATAAACTGAATTGCTTGGTTAATTCTTTTATTTAAGCATACAATTGTGTAATTAATACATTAGCTTTGGACTCTGCCCAAAGCTAAGAACAGATTATAGCGCTCATTAAAGGCCCAAGCCCGACTATGTACTTTAACTGTCCCATTTAGTCTCCCATTTCTCCCCATCACCCTTTTCACCCATTACTTCACCCCTCATAAGAATGTGCTAACACATCCATCCATCTATCCATCTCTTCCCAGCACCTTCAGTCCTCCTTCCCCAATAGACTTAAGATGTGAGAAGAAGCAGACCCTGCATACAGTAAAAGCCAGTCAGTCAGTCGGTCTCATTAGCCATTCACTCGGGCCGAGGAGGTGCTGCCCCACATTCATCCAGCACCGGCCCAAGGCTCATTTGTGTGGCCCAGCCTCTGGAGGGGGCGAAGCGGAGAAGATGAGGTGCGAGAGGGACCCGTGGAGGCCGAGGGCATCCAGACTGAACAGCAGGCTAATAGTGTTGAACCGCAGCGGCGCCCAGGAGCCGTTAGTGAGCTTTAGCCAGTCAGACTTTCAGAGGAGGGAGGTGAAAGTGGCAGGAATATCTTTAACAACTCATTTCACTTTTATGAAATTTAACAATTAATGGATCCAACTACTTTTGCTCGAATCGTTTTTTTTTCTTTTCTTTCTTTCTCTCTCTCTCTCTCTCTCTCTCTCTCCTCTTTTTATTTTAATAACTGCACATTCTCACTCGTCTTCCTCTCCTGCCGGTCGTTTGGGCCCTGTATTAAATATAGAAATGGAGACGCATGTTCTCCGGTGCTCTTAATGGCCATCTATATTTCATGAAAAGTCAGGTCCGGAGAGCAGGGGAAGTCATTGATCAGTTACAGGGCCGCTCTTATTCACAAGATGGGTCATTCTGGAAGAACGGTGCATTTTGTGGCTGTGATAGATGTGTGAGGATTACCTGTACAATTAAGAGCTGTTATTATAGACAATTTTTGCAAATATCAAATATGACAGTTTTTTAGTTGGTGTTTTTTCTGTTGCTTAAGAAGGCTACGGTTATTTGATCAAAAACAGACTAATTGGGTTAATATATTAATAAAAAAAATAATGTGAGAATTAATGATAAGAGCTGTTGTTATATGTACTTTTGTACAATGGCTCTTTTGTGTTTTATCAGATATGATTTTTTTTATTACTATTAAAAAGGCTGCAATTAGTTGATCAAATATAATACATACACAGCATTAAAATATCAAATAAAATATAATGTAAGATTATTACTCCCTTATTTACCTAATAATTAACACAGAAAATATAAAATATTTAAATATCTATTAAACAATAATTTTGTAAAGTACCATTACATTTGTTTAACAAAAAATCATATATATACTGAAATAATTAATAAACTGTTTTACAATTAGAATTCAATTATTATTTTATTTTTTAAATAATAAAAGATGTAAGTGATTAAAAAACATGAACCTAATAATTAAACTGTAGTTTCCTGACATTGTAAATATGTTTATTTTTATGAATATTTTATTATTCCTGCTCATGGAGATTTTGCACTTCAGCGTCTTTCAGCGGTTTGTGTAATTGTCAGTCTCCCATTAATTTCCCTTATTGCTCTTCTGAATGTCACAGTAGTTAAACTAATGATTGTGTGTTTAAACATTTGTAACCTGATCATTTCTCTAAGCCATGTTCTCATAAAGAACACTAAAGTCTGATTCCTCGGTGGCATCCGGAAAAAAAAATATTTCAAAATGCTTGTACACTGCTGCTTTCTTTTGTATGAGCCCACAAGTATCTACAAGTGTCCTTGGTTGAGCTGTGTCATTTTTTTAAATGTGCTGTGCCAGAAAGTGACCCATATTTAAACACACACTTAGTCTAGAGCGTTTTCTTCTGTTAAAATTCTGAACTGCAAAAGTAAAACAAGTTGCAAGCAATACAGAACAAAAGAGAGTTGACATATCCTAGAGTTGAAGTAAAGCATTTCCAGTGTTGTACAACCGTTTTAAATCTATTTAAATTTATGCTCAATCTCGATTATTGATGCTGCCAAGCCCCCATGTCACGTCAGCTTGGCTTGCCAAGCAAGAATAAAAACACGCTTGTTGAAGTGCTGCGAGTGAACTTAACAGCTACAACAAATAGCCAAAAGATAGCATAGCAACTGCAGACGCAGGAGACCCTTAAAACCTTAAACACAACTTTTTAAATCCGTGCTACGAAGTTCCAAGTAGAACGCATCTCACAGCTACGGTGATACCCTCCATGTACAATAATATGAAGCAGAAAGTTATTGAAGTTATTGAATTTTTCTTTTTTAAATCGAGAATCGAATCGAACTGTGACTTTAAAATCGAAATGTAATCGAACTGAGGATTTGGAGGATCGTGAAACCCTTAATCATGTGATAGCGTGAGACTAATAGAAGATCAAAACATGACCTCTCTGGACAGAAATGTAAAATATGGACCAATCACTAGCTTGTTTTATTTCTTATCATCTTGTTTAATCCCGCCCCTTTTCACAGCGATGTATGACAGAATTTTGCATGCTCAAACTCAAGTGTGATCACGGTTTAAGCTAGGTTAATTAGGCAAGTCAATGGACAAAAGTGGTTTGTTCTGTAGCTAAACATATAGATATTTTTTTAAGCAGGCTAATAATATTGGATTTTTTTGTAACAAAAATTATTAGATTTTTTGCTTTTATTCAAGCCAAACTAAAACAATAAGACTTTCTCCAGAAGAACACATAGTATAGAAAATACTGTCAATAAACAGCACTTGGTAAATATAAAAATTGAATTAAAATTTTACTGGAGGGCTAAAAATTTCTCCTTCAACTGTATATTCACCATGGCTGCTCATTTCTAGGCTGAAACGGTGGCTACTCTTCCTTCCGAAGAAACCAAGACCCGCTTGACATCCGCATCAAGCGTGCCATCTTTCTAATATAACCAGTCACTCATGTGCTGGCACACACACGTACACACAGAGCCAGGCGGGCATTTTGTTTATGTCTGCAAAGGCTGACCCCCTTTAAATTGCTGCTAATGTTTTAACTGGGAGAATTAGTCTTTCATCACGGATGGGAATGCAAATAAAATCGGTGAGGTGGCAGGCTGAAATTGGGGTCATACTCATTTGCAAAACTAAGCATCATCGCTCCTGCGCGGCGAAATTTATTCAAAGGAGGGAGGCCTCGCCTGATTATGGCACTTGTAATTATGGTTAGGAGTGATTCCGGCATCAGCAGTCCCTCCCTCATGGATTCGGGGAAAAAAAAGAAGAAGAAGAAGAAGAAGAGTGCGTCGGAAAAAAAATACACAGGATTTAATTATACACGAATTAAAATTGGTAATGAAATTGGGCATGAACAAACTACAAATAGCAGATGAAAAGGAAGGGGCCTCCCTTGGGGGTGTTATTCTAGATAGTGGCTGATTAGTGAAATTTAAAATAAAAAAGCAGGGGGTGGGTTTGCTGATGGTGGAGGGTGCATCGTTTCTTATTTTTTTGTGTTCAAAGATAGTTTTTTTTTTGACTCCCACTGTTATGATGGTGTGGCACCACATTGTCACTTCCCCTTGGTAGAATGTGCACTTAATTGGTTGTGTGTGTCTGCGAGATGGTTGCGGGGCGGAGGAACGGGTTTGAGATGGAGAGATACGCTCTCCGTCTGAGCCGTACAATCTTTTGTGCTCATCATCACGTGCGCTCTTTTAATTAGAAAGCAGGTATAAGATTTATGCCATTATTAAAGGCTGTTTATATCAGGTCTTCGCTATAATTGCATTTCCAGCAATGACAGCGACGCGCCGGTGATTTCGGTTAAGATACCTACGCCGTAGAGTTGGGGAAGGGACTGGGAAACTGACTGACTTTTTGGTCTCTTTCTTTTTTCCCCTGCATGTGCTGTTGTTGCGGTTATTCAGAATGCTGTGCGCCATAACCTGAGTCTGCACAAGTGCTTTGTGCGGGTCGAGAATGTTAAGGGTGCTGTTTGGACTGTGGATGAAGTGGAATACCAAAAGAGGAGACCACCAAAGATGACCGGGTACGTAGACTTCAAGGGGTAGGTCTACCAAGAAATGGGATATCAAACATTGAATGACTATCCGCTTGTTACGTTTGACGTCAGGCAAAGCGGCTTCCTGGTCCAATTGGTCCAAACTGTATGAGGAGACTCGACAAATTGTAATAATAAATGCTTGTAAAACTTTCGAAAATCACGGTCGCTCTATATATATATATATATATATATATATATATATATATATATATATATATATCCATGCCTAATATTTGATGACCAAAAAGTTGGATTAGTACAAATATTTTCTCGATTCAAATAACTAGCGGCTTGGACCCGGAAACAGTTTACCATATATTACTGATTACGACTTCACGACTTAACAAGTGGAGTGGATACAGCACCTATAGAAAATCCTCACACCCCTTTGAAAAAGTTACTTTGTTTGTTGTACAGCCTGAAATCTGATCACATTCCAAATAACTTTTGCACCCTTTGAAATGTTTTTGTAGCCTTTTCCTAATCTGTGACTTTCTACAGCATTATCCTGAAGGTTTTTTTTAAGCAGTAAAGGGGTATGGTGATTTTTTTTATACGCACTGTATATTTGATGAATTTTCAATTGTATAATAAAACTGAATGCTGGCTGTTACTGTAAAGTAAACACAATTGAATGCAATTGAGTTGGTCCAACATAATTTTATCAAATAAAAGTTTAAATAAGTTTTAATTAAGTATATTTAACTTAAACTCAAGGTCTGATAACATCATGTATGTCATAATGTGTCATACATATGTTTCTTAGTTTTATTTGAAGTTATCCTAAATGAACTAAAAGAGCCATTTTAAAGAGTTCATATATAGTTGATTGTGATTGAGCCCAGAACTCATTTTAGGACAGTTGTTGCTCACCGAGCAAAGCAACAAACTACATTTTTGCTAACTAAACTGCAAACACCCTAAGCATGGGTGCTTTTATAAGGTGGTAATCTCAAAACTCAAAGCATTACATGAAAATCTTCTAAATCTTCAAACTAAAGTGAAGATTAAACTATAAGAAGTCTTTCTATTAACTTTAAACATCTAAGATTACTTTTATCGTCAACATTTGCCTCTTCATTTAATCCCATGCAAAGCATGCTGGAAACTACAAATCCCCTATCCCGGTAGTTGGACCAACACAATTCCTTCAGATTGTCCCACCACACAAAACGCCTAAATTAGCTTAATGGCTTACAAATTAAAGTGGACTGAACATAAAACAAAGAAATCGGCCAAAGAAATAACAAGAATTGTGCGGTTTCAGCTCATTTTAAACAGGTAGTTTGAACAAACAGCAGTAATCATTTTTTAAAATGTGGTCTTCTGTATCTATAATTAATTCTTGTTTATTTTACAACTTATAACCATGTATGTCATGCACAGATATAATGTTAATGTATAAATCTATAATCTGTTTATATATAAAGCATGGCCAATATTTATATGTAGATAATGCACTTGGTAGAAAACAGTCGAATATACAAAATTTAGGAAAGAAATAAGACAAAAACAAAATATTTTATCTAAAACATAACTTACTGTCATACTAGGAAATATGGGAATGTCCTTTTACTTTTTTTTACTGGAAAAATATTTATTACATCATCATTTTTATCTATTTTAACCCTTTGATGAAAGTGAACCATCTCAGTTTATTTTTTCTATATTTATTTTATAGCTTGTGCATCAAAGGGTTAAATTAAATATACTAGAGTGATTCTATTGAGTGCTTGTGTACAAATAGCCTCATTTTAAAATCATTTTGTTTTCTTAAAATGTCAAAATATAGGTCAGATTTGGTTTAATCGCTAAGTCTATTTTTTTGTGAAAATGCAGCTCATTTCCTTAATAAAAAATGCAAGTACATTCTACATCTTATTCAAAATCATATACATATATAAAAATTTTAAATACATACTCATGTTTGATCTAAAGCTAAACATTTTGTTTTCATTCTTTCCACAAGTAATCCCAAAAAATGTACTTTTTCACTAAATAAGCATAACTCTTAAATTAATAATGTCATATTTAGGAAGCTTTCATCAGGTTAAATAATGAATTCAGACAGTTGGCTTAACACTCTAACCTTGCTTCAATATAGCATGATATAAGTAGCCTTACAGACTGAAACAGCAGACAGTTTGATGTCATAATAGTCAAGCCAACCTGTAAAACCCTGGATTAAAACTTCCCTCTTTAAGTGAACACTATTTATTGAGTGAAAGTCCCCAAAACATGCTTTTATTTCTGTAGCTAAAGCATGAGCTTGTAGGTCTGCTCTGTAAGTGAGGCTATAATCGTTATTGGCATGTATGATTACCCTAATGGGCTTCCCATCATTACCCTATTACTGACTCTCTAGTCAAAAGCACAAAGGTCTCTTTTGTGCCTCCCCTGCTTGTGTTTGGCAGTGCGTGCGTGCGTGCATGTGTGTGTGTGTTTGTGCGCCTGTGTGTTTTTCCCTTCTGTGTCTACACTGTTTAGGGTACATTGTGAGCAGATGCACTGCAAAAAAGCTTGCCTGCTTGCATTTGTACAAACAGATGTTACACGCCGTCTCAAGCTCTGCCAGAGAGACGACGGCAAATTACCCAGCCGACGGCCTGCACACCACATTTCAGTGTGTGTGCGTGTGTGCAGTATATGCTGTGTCAGAATGCATGTGTTAGTCTCTATTGTTTAACTTTTCTATTTATCTCTTGTAAACAGAATAGTGCCTCAGCATTTTTCACAGGTTAAGGAGGGTTTTTTATCCACAGTTTGGTCTGGTGTGTTATGTTGAAATCCAGCGCATCTAATTCATCATCTTTTTTCTTTTCTTTTTGCTCCCAGAAGCCCCACTCTTGTGAAAAATATGATTTCTGGACTGGGATTTGGCTCACTGAATGCCAGCTATCAGGTGAGACTCTAACTTTTGAAAACTTTCAGTAAAATGTAGAACGTCTAGTTTGAGAGTTAATGATTCCTTCCTTTTCAGTAATTTGATCGAACTGATGTACAATGTAAATCACTGTAAATGATTCATTGGTGAACTGGTTGGGATCTGAATGATTTTACTTAATAGTTATTGCAAACATTGGAAAAGATAAATGGAAAGATTTTTTGAGAATGTAATTTAATATTTTTCTCTAAGATATAAATTTGGGCTACTATTTTTACTATTATTGTAATTTATTTTGTTAGATAAGCTCCAGATTTGGCTTCAGGACTGACTTATCCAATGTATATGCACAAATATAATATTGTATCCTATAGAAAATTTAACTGAGAGATCTGTGGGGGTGTACTCATATATGCTGAGCACTGTATATGTATGTATGAACTATTTATTTATTCATGTTAATTTATATTCATTATTAGATTTTTTATTATATCTGTTTATATTTTTTGCACTTGGACTTGTATTTATTTACTAATAAATAAATAAATAAATGAATATTATGGAGAACAAAACCTACAAAACATAAATAAATAAATCCACAAATTCCTGCATAAATAAAACAATACATAAATAAATATGCAAAAAAATAAATAGATGTGTGTGTAAATCTTCAAATTCCTTTATAAATAAAATAATAAATAAATAAATATATGCATATATAAATATACAAATTCCTGCATAAATAAATATATAAATAATTAAAAGTACATAATAAAAAATGGGGGGTTGGGGGTTATATTTATTTATTTATTTCCATATTTATTTATTTATTTTTATTTTTTTGCAGGAATTTGTGGATTTAATTATTAATTTATTTATTCATTTGCATGTTTTTGTCCTCTATAAAATATGACATAACATGTAAAATAACATTACAAATGACATGTACCATTAAAAAATAATAAACAATAGAAAACAGTGAAATTGAATATTTTGATTATGAACTTTAATCTTTTGGGTAAATTCAAAATAGAAATGTATAGTTTCCTTATTACCCAATATTCACTTTTTTGCATTCAAAATATTAATTTTAAGTAAAAAATCTGCCTTTTCATATTCTGATTTGGGATTGCGGTATTTTTGGTCTGGTTCGTAGTCTGATCTGATTGATTTGTTATTGAATCGATCCAAAATAAAATAAGTATGAAAAAAAAAAATCTACATTTCACCCATTACTTTGGCATCAACATTTCTAAACTATAATTCATGAAAGCTCTTAAATATTTTGTCCACTAAACATCACCTAGAACTTGACATCTGAAATGTGAGCGGAACAGCCTTATAAGTTTATTTCAGTCATTTATTCTTGAATCTCAAAATCATTTTACAGCTCCTGGAAAAGAAAAGAAAAAATGTGAGAATCCTGCACAGATCAAGCACACAAGGGCACTGATAACAATTTCCTCCTCTAATTAGCTGCTTCTCCCAAACCTCCTCCGTTCTCCTCCCTCCATCGCACACGCAGCCATATGTGATTTATAGCGTCAAATATTTGTCAATGAAGGTCACAGCATAAAATTAGTGTCTGTCCTAGAAAATCTCCTGAAACCACCGGTGTCACCGCAACTCTCGTTCGGAGCGTTTGCAGCCCTGCTCTGAGTTTGTGCGTTTGTGTTTTCTCTGTGTGTGTGTTTTTTTTTTCCCTGTGTGACGAGACAGAGATGGATATGGGAGGTTAGCCTTTGTTAGCTTGCGTCCTGGTCTGGGTGTGTGTGTGTGGGTTTGTGTATGTGTGTGAGTGTGTGTGTGGCGCTCTGTCAGGTCTGTGCCCATCCATCTCCTCTCAGGACAAGCAGTGTCAGCGGCTGACAAACAAACAGCCCAGCTAATCACAGGCCAACACACATACACACACACACACACACACACACACAGTTTCTCCGGCCTGGCCCAGTTTGTCCCACTCTGACCCTGCAGGCCATCTCTATGGAAATGGAACTGCTCATCCTGAAAAGGCCACACATAAACTAGCCTTTAACAAAAGAGCAGACACACAGTGTGCACAACAACAGCCTGACGAAGTGTGAGAGAATGATGTCTATCTGCTGAGTTTGTGTGTGTTTTAGATGGCAGTGTTAATCATACTTTTAAAGGTAAATTGAAAAGTATGCATTTCAAGTTTATAAAAATGTTGTTTTAATATGCAAATTATGGATTGTAATTAAATATGTACTTATTTAAAATCTGAATATTAGATCAGTCTGGTTCTTTATTATTTTTTTATGCATTAGAGTCAAAGGATTTTACAGAGGGTATAGTGGGATATTTTTATCACTCCATAATTCAGAAAGAACTATAAACAGCTGGAAACAAAATGTTAGAATAATATATAAAATATACTTTTAGTCACTTTATGTATGGACAAATCTGTGTGTAAAATGCTTTAGAATACAGATATGAGCAAAACAAATTCACCTGCACTGTTCATCTGAATTTAGTTAGTTAAGTTTTAGTTTATTTTAGTTTAAAACAAAAAATAGGCCTCATTTAGTTGACAACAGTTAAACTGTGCGTGAGCCTGATCATCTTTCTTGCCACCACTTGCTCTCTCTACAGAATCACTATGAATTTGCCTTTAACAATCTATTCTTGTCCTGTCTTTCTTTCTGTCAGCTCTCTCTCTCTCTCTCTCTCTCTCTCTCTCTCTCTCACTATAATGAATACATTTCATTAAGATGTCTAAATTAAGATATCCGAATTTATCATTTCCTTGAATAGATTTGTTATTTTTTACTTGTACCCTTTTATTAATATAAATACAAAATATATATTGTGTTTTCTTAAGTTTATATAGTCATATGATTTGCATTGGGTAAAATAAACTAAATTAAAAATAAATATTTTATGAATTAAATATTACATATTTTAACTTTGTTTTAATTTAATATTTACTAAATAAAGAGTTTAATCAAATGGGTGTTACCAAAAAAAATAATATGCTAAAACACTTATCATAACATATATACACACATTCAGTGGGTTAAAGATGTAGAGCACCAGAGTGTGTGTGTGTGTGCGTGTGGGGTTGTATATGTGTGAATGTGGTATCAGTGATCGTTCTGCGCTGTTATATGGAAGTAAGGAGACCCCTAGTGGTGAAACAATCTAACCTGCTGCAACACTGCTGCCATTTTTTAACAACTTTAAAGACTTTTAATAATGAAAATAAAAATAAAAAACATTTAAACTTAGAGTAATTTTCCTCAGTTTTTAAAGGAAACTGTATTCACTTATCTTGACCCTTCACAGTTTTAAAAAAGAGATGCTTCATCCAAAATGTTATCACCATTTACTCAACCTCAAGTTGTAGCAAAACTTTGTGAGTTTTTTATCTTGTATAGAATAAAATGTAATCATTCAACCAATAAATAAACTTGTTAAAATAAGTGGTTTCTATTGTAAAAAAAAATTTAATGTAATTTGTCCTTTAGTGCTTTTCTGAAAGAACTATCAAAAGAATTTTCGTCTTCTATCAATATTAGTTTCAGTGTATATTTTAGAATTTATTTTAATGTGTTAAATTGGTGTTTAGTCAACTTTTTAATGATCATTAATGTTAAAACCGGTTGTGCTGTCTTTGTTTTGATATTTCTCTAAGGATTGTTGCAGGTTATTATGTTTTAATTAAAGAGATATAATTAATTCCGACAATTGTAACAATTTTGTCTTCTGATCTTCTTTCTGCTGAGCAATTAAAGTATATTTAAGTTGATTATTTTTGTAACAATAGAAATGTTCATATTCTGTACACTTAAATTGTTATTTGTCTTTAATATAGCAAACCTTTTTAAGTTATTTTATTTATCTTTATTTAATTTTTTCCCATTCTATTACATTCTAAAGAATATTGAAAACCATTGACTTCCAGCGGTTGATAATAAAATCAGTAGTTACTAGTTTCCATCATTCTTCAGAATATAATAGAATGGGAAAAAATTAAGGCAGATTTTAAAAAAGGACTCAAAAGTAAATGTTCATTTTTTTGACCTCTCCTCTTAACTTTTCTTAATGGTGTAATGTTGTGTTGTGCAGGCTGCGCTGGCAGAGAGCAGTCTTGGTCTTCTGAACAGCCCCACGCTGATGAACAACAGCACAGGTGCGAGTCTCAACATGCTGCACATTGGCCATGATGATGTCAGCAGCACCGTTGAACAAGTCAACAGTAACGGCAGCTGCAGCCCCGGCCTTTCTCCACAGCAGTACGGGTGAGGCTACTCAACTGATCCCTTGTACAGTTATGATAAAGCACATGTGACACTGATGCTTTACCACAATCTCTGGTTCTGATGAAAAAAAAACACTTCATTCAGAAGTTTGCTGTTTGGCTCATGAAACATTTTTATTATAATCAAAGTTGAAAACAGTTGTGCTCTCCTAATATACTACACACACACACACACACACACACACACAGACAGACACATACAGTTGAAGTCAGAATTATAAGCCCCTCTTAGAATTTTTTTTCTTTTTTAAATATTTTACAAATGATGTTTACCAGAGCAAGGAAATTTTCACATTATGTCTGATGTATTTATATATTATAAATATTTTTTTCACCTGGAGAAAGTCTTATTTGTTTTATTTCGACTAGAATAAAAGCAGTTTTAATTTTTTATGGACCATTTTAAGGTCAAAATTGTTAGCCCCTTTAAGCAATTTTTTTTTCCAACTGTCTACAGAACAAACCATCATTATACAATAACTTTCCTAATTACCCTAACCTTCCTAGTTAACCTAATTCACCCAATTAAGACCCAATTAAGTCTTTAAATGTCACTTTAAGCTGTATAGAAGTGTCTTGAAAAATATCTAGTCAAATATTATTTACTGTCATCATGGCAAAGATAAAATAAATCAGTTATTAGAAATGAGTTATTAAAACTATTATTTTTAGAAATGTGTTGAAAAAAATCTTCTCTCTGTTAAACAGAAACTGGGGAAAAAATTAACAGGGGAGCGAATAATTCAGGGGGGCTAATAATTCTGACTTCAACTGTATGTATTAGTTTATATAGTTGATGGTAAAATTATTAACCCTGTTTGAGCTGGAAATCACTCTTTTCTATCATTGATATCTCTGTCATTGTTAAATAAAATGTTTAAAGAGCACTATTGGGTAAGTTACTTATAGGTTACTGATATATAGGTTACTGATTTTCTACTGGAAAACTGTAATCTGATTACATTAGTAATTACTTCATGTAAAAAGTAATCCGATTACTAATTACTTTACTTTGAAGTTACTTTTAAAACACATAAAATATACCTATAATAACACAAAATAACCTGCAGCTCTTTCAGTCATTTAATATTCACTAGGAAACATTACAATGGGTTGAACCCAGCAGCTTGACATATTCAAAAGACTTAAAGAACCCAAAACTTAAAATTCTCTCATCATTCACTTGTTGCAAACCTGTGGTCTCACCTGCTTTTTGAACACAAAATAAGACTTGAAGAAAACTGTACACCTGTAAACATTAACATCCATTATATGAAAAAGCACTGCAGTGTTTGTGTGTTCTGTGTTTGTGCGTTTAAAAGACACGATATGTGAATGGCCCCATAAGCAGCTACACTTCTCTCCCGATCCTGCACAAAAAATTGGATTGTCATGTTTTTGGGCGCTGGTGTCCTCCTTGTGACAAATATTGCCCAAAAATGCCTTCTGTTCCAGTGCTTGAACAAGTTGCTGGTTGAGTTAAAAGCAGTCAAAAGTTCCTTGGAGACTGGACATAGACTGCATTTCACCGCAATATTTTTGGTTTTATGCTAAATAAAATCAAAGTAATTTAAGCAACTATACGCATTTCAGCTTGTGTTCTCCAGCACATGTATAAAAGCACATGATTATTAATTGACGTTGCAGCAGAAAACGTGATTTAAAATATTTTTTTCTTCTAAAAACTGCTTTGCTAATGTAAATAATGCAAATACATTGACTTAAGGAACTGTAATCAAATTACACTAATTCAAAATGTAATGTTACACTACTTACACTACTGCGTTCCCCAAAAATGTAATTAGAAAACAGTATACAGAATAAAGAGTGTTGCCTATTTAAAGCTTTATCTCACATTTGATTAATCAGGCGTTTATATTCTCAGTATGACTAACTCACTGTGGGTTTGTTCTTTTTATTTTAGACATCAGATCCACGTGAAGGAGGAGCCGGCAGAGATGGAGGAGGACAGCAGACCCGTGTCCCTCTTGGCATCAGTCACTCAAAACCTGAGCATGCCCAGTGACGATCGCGACATGGAGGACGAGCTTCCCACTGAAGAGCTGGAGTAAGAGGAAGCCCCGTCCCCTACCTCACGTTCAACACGTTATAGATCAAGTGAGGAAAAAAAAAACAAAGAAACAAAACCAACTTCAAAAACCAAAACAGGGTTCGACCTCATCTGTTCACAATGCAAAAACAACTTTTTCCCCTGATTTTCTTTTTGTTTATTTCATCAGACAATTCCCTCAAAAAGGCCCTTTGAACAGCGCATTGGTGTTTTGAAACATAGTCTGATAGAAGCTGCTGAGGGAGACCTGACGTCAGTACACAAACTTTTTTTTTTTTTTTTTTTTTTTTAGAAGTCACTCGAGGTTTCTCTATTTTAAATCTTTTTAGCTTTAATTTTTATGTTCTTCGGGCCTGAGAACACTGCTTTTCTATGGGATAAACACAAAGCGGTGATTTACCTCAGAAAGATGAGAAAAAAAGAGGAAAAAGATGACAAACACACATCTTTAGAATGACTTCAACCGCATTTTTGTACTCTTTCGAAAGAGGATGCTGCAAGACTCAGTAACTTTGCGCTCATACAGATTTCAAATTCACCACTCTCAACAAAAGCAAAGACTGAAACAAAATGAGCTGAAAGACTGACAACGGCATCCCTTGCCACTTGACCAATTTCTTTTTTTGTTGTTGTTGTTGTTGGTCTCCCTTACAAGACTGGACTAGAGAAAGGAAGGATTCGTTTTGGCTGGAGGCAGGTTTAGCCTCTTATCTTCATCTGATGGAATCTGCCAGAACGTGTTTATCCCTCTTGCTCTTTGTCAGACTTGACGTAGAAAATGTCGCTACCCCCAAAAAAGGCCTATTTCAGGAAAAGGAACTTTTTTCTTCTTCTTCTTTGTTTTTTTTTTTTTGCTGTTGTTCTCCTGTGGTGCTGTTATGACAGCCAGACTGACACGAGGCTTTTGGAGGACCAGCTCAGAGACTTTATTAACTGTATTGTTGATTATAATATGTGTGCAGTAGCTTTCAATTTCGTTTTGAAATCATAGTCATTGATTTTTAAAGCATCAACTTTTTTTGTGTTGTTTTCATTGTGCTGTAATTCAACTACATGTTCTGTTGATGATTGTTTTGTTTCGATTAGTTCTTTTCGATTCTCTCATCATTCCAAAAATGGGTTACGTTTGGGAGAGAAGTTCCACCACAAAACAAAAATCCATATTCTACAAACTCCACCCCAACAACAAAAACAATGAAAACTATGTCCAAACTAGATCCGGATAGCACTTCCGAAATGAAATGATAGCAAACAAAAACCACTCCAACCTTCTGCAGAGAAGCTGAAACTAAAGAGACTGAGGTGAAATACGCATCACAGGGCTCCCTGTAAGATCCTGGAAAACTTTACAGGCACTCATATCTCTCTTTTTTTCAACATATTTGCTTCATTTGTTCATTTAAGTCTGATGTATTTTCACAAATTTGCGCATTTGCTTTGTGGATTTCCAAATTTTCTGTAGTAGCCACTTGATTGAGATCAGCTGCGATACAAATTATTGCTTTAATGTAAACGATGAAACGGTCACGTATTACCTCAGACCACAGTGTTTGCCCCCTCACGCTGTTATTATTATTATTATTATAAAGGGGATTTGTACTGTGGCTAACCAATATGGTGACTCTGTCATTATCAGTTCAAAGTTCTATAGTTGCTAGATATATAAAAGCTATTTGCAATTCACTGTGTGAGTAGAAAGTGTCTGATTAGCTTGTGAGATTTTGCTTTCATTGAATTATAAAGTTAAAAAAAAGAGCTTTTCTCAAGTAGTGCCAAGCCAAATTCCAAGTTTTAATTTAATATATGTTGCTTTAATTTTAGTTTAGTTCTTCCCCATTTTACTTTTGTTACAGGTAACCAAAGAGATATTTAGTAAACCAAAAAAAAAAAACACTTTTTTTTTTTTTAATGATAATTTCTTCTTCCTAAAGAACTGGCCAAAAGTACACAAATGCGTCATTTGAATATTTAATTTCTCTTTTTTTTCAGTGAAATCATTTCTGTTTTAACTTACACTACAGAGCATTCCAAAAACCAAAGTGTAAAATGCATTATGTTTTTTAAGTTCGTAAAAAGGAGTTTTAATATAACACTACATACATTTAAAGGCCAAAAACAAACCGAAAAGGAAACAAAAAGCAAAAAAAGCAGTATTAACATCCTCTTGCGGATCCTTAGTTAATGTACAAAGCACTTACGATCTGAGAAAGGAAGCTCTCTCTACCCCATCTTGTGCTCAGGCGATTTGCAGTGTTGAGAACGCAGTCTTAAGACTGCATGCAAAAGGCACTTGAATAGCAGGTAATGTACTTTGTGACACTAGAAGCCAGCAGCAATGACGGTTTACTTCAAATACCAGTATTTCACAATAAATCGCAGTTCAACGAATACCAAAAATAAAAGCAGGCAAGCACTTGCTTGTTGTGCTCATCCTGCCTGTTGAACAGTATTATTTACCACACTAATAAGGGACGGCTGATAGGGACTCTTTTTTTCATTTGAAACCAATCATTTACCGCTTCTTTTCGCTACCGTACATAGTCACCTGTATGTTAAACACCTTCAAAGAAATAAAACCAAAAATAACTCTACCTCCTTTTGAAAACAGTTCACAAAATAGATATAGGCCAATGAAAAGGTGTAAATCCCTTCTAGTTTTTCATTCATCCACACACACACACACATTGTCGGAAAAACCAAAATATCGCTGTGTTCCGTTGGCATGAATGGAAACAAATAAACAACGGCAACAAAATATAAATAAATAAAAAAAGACGACTACCTCTCCACCCCCTACGAAAAAAAAAAATAATGCTGAGTCCTGTTAAGTATGAAGCATTAAGTGGTCAACATATTTAAAAGGGTCTACTCCAAATCACATATTCCCCACTTTAAGCGATCTATTAGCATAGTGTCTATGTACAGGTCCTCTGTGCGGAGGCTTAATTGTGTGTTCTAATTCCGCATGCATAATGAGAGGCCAGGCCAATGAGAGCCATCGAGCTGGCCGGTCATTAGCACACACTCAATGGGCCAGTCAGTTGGGTGTCAGAAATGATGATAGGCAGAATGCATTAACGCAGGCCACTCTCGCACGGACCCCGCTTCCCAATTAATGCAAAGTGTGGAGAACAAAAACGCACACACACATGCACACACACACACACACTGAGATCATCATGCTCCCGGCCTTTATTTTTAACCGCAAGACGAAACCAAAATATCCAAAGAGAAACATCAAGCTTGTGCTCTCAAGAACTGAGGATTTGAAGGAACTGAAAAAAAAAAAAAAACTCGCTGCATTATAGAAACGGACTACAATTGTGCTTTAAGGTACACTGAAACACATCAGTGATGATCGCCATGACTCCTTCGTTACTTCATGATGTATTATTGTATATTACCGCTCGGCTTAGCTGTCAAGGGCATTCCCTCCTTTTTGTGTTTCATTTATTTGCTTACTTTTCATTTGTTTTATGTTTTCCGCACTGTTTTTTTTTTTTTTTTTTTTTTTTGCTATTGTAAAGTTTTGAGCTCAGAATACTGTATTGCTTATGCTGAAGTGTATGTATTTATCATATTATGTGCTGCAGGTATCATTTTTATGTTTGTTACTTTGTTTTTCCCAGTTTTTTCTGTCATAAAACGTCTGGGACGATGATGATTTTTTTTATTATTTTATTTTTTAGTGTATTATCTCAAAATTGAAAAAAAAAACAAAAAAGATTAAGAGTTAGATAAGTGGTTTAGGTAACACACACCTGTTTGTATATTTATCTTAGCTAGGTCTATTTTGATACTTTTTGTCTCTGTAGTGCATTTATGCATTTTTAAGGAAAAAAGAGAGAAAACTAAACTAAAAAGCTGAACTCATTGTGTAATGATACCTCAGAAGGACTTTTCTCAAAAGACAGGACCAAAACTTCATTGAAAGAGAAAAAAAAGACATTGAAGAAACTAAATGTGTAGCCCTCTCTTGCTTATAAGAAAGGTGTTTGTTTTTTTATTGTTATTATTTTAATATTGGTCCATTTAGGTGCCAATACATGTACAGACTCCCTTTAAAACAAAATCAAATCATTCCTTTATTTACCATGATGAGCACTCAAAGCTGTTTTTCATAAGGCAATCGTGCTTCAGAATAAGTGGCTCTCTTTGGTTACCAATGGAGAGCATCTTCCATACAGTATATTTTGGCTTCTCTTGTAACATTAAGTTTGCCATCTGCTGTGAACTTGATGTGGATTTTCCACAGTAGCAAACCAAAAAAAAAAAAAAAATGTAATAATAATGCAGTTCATCTTCAACGACCACCAAAGGGATTGTGGATTGACGTTTTTACTTCAAGTCTGCCACAACTGTAACCAAACAAACGCTTGAGGAAGATGACTATGTCTTTAAAGCAGAGCTACAATGCCAGTGATGAATAGCTTTGAGTTGCCTGTTTGTTTGTTTGTTTTTAAGTAAAGGATTCCTTCAAGGGAGCTTTTTTTGCCTGATGGTATTAACTTCTTCGGCCAATCGAATGGAACTACCACTTTGACTCTCCTCTCATTGTATTTTTTACGAATGTGTGTACATTTTTTCAGCAGTGACTTCTATGTACTTTAGTTTCATTTTAACTTCCGTTTGTTTGTTTCGCTTTTTCAGATGAGACTTGGGGGAAGAAAAGGTGGTGGCTTTTGAAATGGTATAGAAAATTAAAGAAAAAAAGGCAACTAGCCATCCACCTTTGTCGTTCTAACCCCCCGGTGACCATGTTTATGCCAGTCACTGCCGTTTTTTCTTCATGCTGTATAAAAAAAAAACACATATATCTGTGTATTTGTAACCTGAATCTTCTTGTGTCTGTCCATGCAGACAATAAAAAAACTGTACAGTAGGTCTAGTTGCATGTAATCTGTACTAATTATTGACAATGGCATTATAAAATGCAATAAAAATACTTATTACACTGTCTGAGGCTGTGCATTGTATATTTATTTACACGTTAATCCAAATAAGCATATGATATGTTTCTTTAATGTCTTATGGTTCCTCTATTTTGTTTCTGTATTCACATGCACTTATAGTACTACATAATCATATCTTTGTTATTATTTTGTTTTCAGCATGTTTGGACTAAAGTCGTATGCATATTCATAGTTATGCATAGTCATTTAGTGAAATGTCCTTCTGAACGTTAACATTAACATTTTATTTCAAATAATATAGTCAATTCCCAAGAAAAAGTCCATTATAAATCCTCTTTTTAAAAGATAGCATCTAATGCACTGAGCATATTTGACATGTTCTAATATTTCATTAAGTAAATTGCAAGGAAAGAACAAACATTCAGTATATATTCAATTCCACTTGATTTGTATATCGCATTTCATAATAATTATTGCTTCTAAGCAGCTGTACAAAAGGTGCACATTATTTCATAACAGTTGGAATCATAAAAGTTAGGGTTGTTAGTTACTAATAAGTTTATTTAAAAAATAACTAATTACTATTATAATTTTGTAATAGTGTTTGGTCATACTTTATTTTGATGGTCGTTTGTTGAATTTAAGTTACATTGCACATTTACCCCAACCTAATAGTCTCTTTATAATCGAATTAGTTGGCATTGGGGTTAAGGTTAGGGTTAGTGTAAGTTGACATGTACTTGCAAAGTTTCTTTTAGAGTTAAATGTCTGTTGAAGGAGCAGTATCAACAGATATTCAGCAGACAGTCTACTCTACTCTGTCTACACTCAAATGGACCATCAAAATAAAGTGATGCCTATGATTTAAGGCTCATATCAAATGGTTTATTTTATTTTAATACATTTACTTTATGTATTAAATATATCTATTTTATAAATATATAAATATGTTAACACTAATATAATTTAACTACTACTAATGATGATACAATAAATTAAAGCACTGATTATAATAAAACTTAAGCTTGAAGATTATATATATATAAGTAGATTAGGTGGAGCATTTTAATGTGTACAAATGTCAAAAACAAATAAAAAAATAAATAAATACATACTGTATATTAGCCCTCCTGTTTTTTTTTTTCTTTTCCTTTTTAAATATTTGCCAAATTATGTTTAACAGAGCAAGAAAGTTTTTACAATATTTCCTATAATACTTTTTTCTTCTGGATTTTTTTTTTTTTTTTTTTTTTTTTTTACATTTTAAGGTCAATATTATTAGACCCACCAAGCATGCTTTTTTCCAGATTGTCTACAGAACAAGCCATCATTATACAATAATTGGCCTAATTACCCTAACTTGCACAATTAACCTAAGTAACCTAGTTTTGCCTTTAAATTGCACTTTAAGCTAAATACTATTCATTCATTCTTTTTCTTTTCGGCTTAGTCCCTTTATTATTCCAGGGTCGCCACAGCGGAATGAACCGCCAACTTATCCAGCACGTTTTTACGCAGCGGATGCCCTTCATTTTCTGGGAAAAGCTAAATACTAGTACCTAGTAAAATATCATGTCATCATGGCAAAGATAAGGAAAAGAAATCAGTTATCAGTCATTAGAAATTGCAAATTTCTTGACAAAATCTTCTTTCTCAGAAAATAGGGGGGGCAGGGTATGTACAGCAGGGCTAATAATTCAGAAGGGCTAATAATTCTGACTTGCTCCGTAGCATGTAAATGTGTAAATGCCACAAATTTACATTATGTCTGTTATGTTTACATTAATCTCACAATATGGTTGAAAAATGATCATTTTAGCAGATTTTTGGTATAATTTCCAACATTTCCTCTTCCAATGATTCATCAAACATGAACAAATGAAGTTTGGTATCACTTTTTTTTTATGGTCCCTTTAACGCATTTTGTTTAAATTAAATTACATTGCATCTACATGCCAACTAATTCTGATTCGATTATAAGTAGAATGATTGGTTGGGGTTAGTGTAAGCTGACATATACTTGCAAAGTTTCTTTTCATTCATTCATTCATTTTCTTTTCAGCTTAGTCCCTTTGTTAATCAGGGGTCGCCACAGCAGAAACAACCGCCAACCTATCCAGCATATGTTTTATGCAGCAGAGGCCCTTCACTGCAACACTGGGAAATACCCATACACTCCTGCCAATTTAGTTTTTTCAATTTACCTATGGCACATGTCTTTGGACTGTGGAGGAAACCGGAGTACCTGGAAGAAACTAACTGACCCTGCCAGGGCTCGAACCAGTGACCTTCTTGCTGTGAGGCGATCGTGCTACCCACTGCGCCACCTGCAAAGTTTCTTATAGTCAGCTAAATGTCTGTTGAAGGTGCTTTACCAGGAGAAATTAGGTAGATAGTTTACTAATACTCAAATGAGAACTAATTAACTTTCAGTCAACAAAATGTGCAAAAGGGACCATCAAAATAAAGTCTTACCTGAAGTTTAATCACCTAAAACAAAACATACAGCATTCATGTGACACTGAGCTACAATAACTAAAGCAGAAGAGTGAACCTGAAAGCACAGGTCTCAAATTCACTGAATGAATCTACAAAACACTTGGTGCACAATGGCTTGGTGCATTTGATGGTATTATTTTTGTGATGGGGTAAGATGGATGGGCAGGAGTAAAAGAAAAAAAGACATCAGCAGTTGTGTCTTTATATGCGCGCCATCTGTGGTACATTGAGTAATGGAGTACTGTTTGCAATTATCTCTATGCGTAATAACATCCAGCTAATCGCTCAGTTATATAATTTACTGCTCATATTTAATCCAAGCGCAAACTCTCCCTCACTTAGAGTTAGATTTAGACCAGGAGTGCCCAAACTTTTTCTTATGACAAGCCAAAAACCAAACTTGGTTGGCTGTAGGCCGAATACCAAACTGTATTAATTTCCTAAAATTAAAAAATAACTTCAAAACATTGCTTTAAATGACCTAATGCTAAAAAATCATAATGAACTTATTGCAGTAAAAACGTAAAGAATATCCTATTAACAACACAATGGAGTTTTATGCTGAATACACTAACCTGCACCTGCCTTGATTTGCTCGCCGATGTCTTGTGCATTGCCTCTGTCTGTCGGATGACAGTATTTACATTTTTAAAAAGTCAGGTTCATTTACAAAACAAACATACAAAATGTTACATTCAATTTCGAAATGACGATCTCTGTCAACGATAATCGAATGGAATGGTGGGCCAAATCAAATTTTTCCATTGGCCAACTTTGGCCCGCGGGCCCTAGTTTGGGCATATCTGGTTTAAACTGTTTGAATATTAAATAATTGCAATTCAATTTCTAATTCATTATAAATGACACACACATATACATATATTAAAATTGATATTATTACAAAGTAAAAGTTATCTTTTATTACGTTTGAAATTACATTTGAAAACAAAAACTGCATTATTAGCAGCATTAAAAAAAAGATTACCGCTGTAGCTGTCACTAGCGACTGGTGTCTCTTTATTGTCAGTCATTCACAGTTGGCTTTTATATTCATATGTTGAGTTGAAACCCGGCAGAAGTGTAACTGTCAGATGCTCTTGTTTGTTGTGTTACAGGCTCTGTCCACCAGGAGGGGTAAATAAACCAGCAAAAACTGAATGGGGTAGAGTGGAGGGAAAAAAAGAAAATAGAAGAAAAGTAAAATAACAGCACAGGCCCAATCAGAGAGCCCTTTTAGTCTTCTGAGAAAATCTCTCACTGACATAAAGTACAGACAGGGTGGAGAGTGTTATTCCAACCCATTTAGACTCAGATCAGGTTCTCTCATTTTTTTTCTGCCATCCTTTCTCTTCGTCTGAAATCTGCCCTGAAAGCTTATCTTTTAAACACACAAACCTCCGTTCCAAAGAGGTGTTGCTATATTATTTTTAAAGAAAAGTTGGGGGAAAAAACGAGAAAGTTTGGGTTTTATTTGTTTAAAGTGTTTTGTGATTCTCTCCATGAGTTTGACAGACATTAAACTTATCCTTAAAATAAGTTGTCATTTGCTGAATAGCACAAGAGATAGTTTGTGTAACAATGAAAGATCTGCCATCATTTACTCATCATTACCAAGATATTTTGAAAATGCGACAAACCTGTAACCATTGACTGCCATAGTATTAGTCAGTGGTTACAGGTTTCAAACATTAAAAAAAAACTTTTGTGTTTAACAGACAAAAGAAACTCAAATGTTTGAAACTCTAGTTTTTTTTTTTGTTTGTTTTTTTTTATGAACTATCTCTTAGGATTGTAATTCACCCCAAAATTAACATTTTGAGTACTTTATCTGTCATAATTTTCTCATTATCCACTTGTTTCAAAAAGTTATTTTATTTTGATAATAACAAAAGAAGATATTTTGAAGAATGTTTATACACAGTTTAAACAAAGATAGGTGAAGCAGTGGCGCAGTATAGTGCTGTTGCCTCACAGCAAGAAGGTCGCTGGTTCGAGCATCGGCTGGGTCAGTTGGCATTTCTGTGTGGAGTTTGCAATTTTCTCCTCGCGTTTGCGTGCATTTCCTCCGGGTGCTCCGGTTTCACCCACAAGTCTAAAGACATGTGGTACAGGTGAATTGGGTAGGCTAAATTGTCTGTAGTGTATGTGTGTGAATGAGTGTGTGGATATTTCCCAGTGAGTGGTTATGGCTGGAAGGGCATCTGCTGCGTAAAAACATATGCTGGATAAGTTGGCAGTTCATTCCGCTGTGGCGAACCCAGATTAAAGTGACTGAACCAAAAAGAAAATGAACAAATGAATGAATAAACAAAGATATTTTGAAAAATGTTCATACACAGTTTTTTTGCCATTTCTCCTACAATGAATGTCAATGGGGTGGCACGGTGGTTCAGTGGTTAACAGCACTGTAACCTCACAGCAAGAAGATCACTGGTTCGAATTCCGGCTGGGTCAGTTGACATTTCTGTTAAGATTTTACATGTTCTCCCCATGTTCGTGTGGGTTTCCTCTGGGTGCTTCAGTTTCCCTTACAGTCCAAAGACATGC